CAAACCAGAGGAATTGTGTGGTGAACTATGTCCCATAATCGTCCTGGTTTGGAAATGACTTCCTATGGGTATTGCTAGTTGACATACTTGGCCTACTAATTTGTTCATAAGATCATTCAAAGTACTTAATTGTTTGGCCATGTTATCATAGTGAACATTTTCATTCTGGGTAAATTTTTCTATATTATGGACATTTCGTAAATTTATCTGTTCGACGACATCATGTGTGAGTTCTCCAAGTAATGCACGCATGGTTCAAGAACTCAACTCTGTCATTGGTTTATAACGACTGTGACTGCTTGGAGTCTGTCCTTCCATCTAAGGAGAATGTTATTGCTCCTTATATCGTTCGATCACAGACTGGACTACTCTATGACTTGCTGGTGCTTTATCAGAACTTTTATGAGGCATAATGTTTTCCTTTTGCATCTTCGAACACCAATTGTCCCACTGGGTGTGCCAAATTGTTTCGCGTGGTTACTCGCTAACAATTAAAAGAGGATCAGACGATTGTGTAAGGGACAAACCTCTTGAAACAAAGTTCCAAAAATGGGTGTTTATNNNTGAAGATTACAGTTTGGATACGAACAAGATGCCTCCAAGGGGCGCAAGCACACAAGTACAAGGAAATTGAAGTAATTAAAGTTAATCTAAAAAAAAAAGTAAATTACATATTCTCTGTTTGAGAGTGAATTTTGTCGAGACTTTCTTCATTGCTTTCCTCTTCCTTTTATACTCTTTGGGCAGTTCTCAACCGTTTGGACTCTGCTCGTAACTACCCATTTCTTTCATAGTGGCTGACTGGCCAATAACCACCATCTGTAACTCCTACCACCACATTTTCTTCATAATCGCTTGTTACTAATTTTCTCAAGTCATGGGATGTAATCGTGATGTGCTCAAACCGCCTCAAACCGTGACTTTTAGATAACCGTAGGGTTTAGTCATCACTAGGATTCTGGGCAATCCAGCAATTTGGGTGACGACTCCTTCGCTCTGGGCGTCCATAGGGTATTTTATTCGCTCAACATCTGGGCGTTCCGCAAGATTGGGCGACGATGTTCCTTTGTTTGTGGGCTTCTT